CTATTTATTGTGATATGTGCAGGCTGTAAAGTTGAATTGTGAGGAACTGTCATTATCGTAAGCTTTACAACGCAACAAGGATTTTACCGAGCTCCCTACACCAACATTATTTGCATGTTCAAGGCATTTATAGTCATGTGCCTTCGTCATATTACAGTGTTTTTTGTGTAGTGAAGTGCCTCGATTTTTGCTCAGCAACAAGGAACCTATTGATAGCATGAATTAGGCGTCTATAGAGAATTCTCTTAGCATGGTCAATTGGTCAAAAACATTGAGTTTATAAAGAAAGTGCCAATAAGGTTTCAATGCGATCGGTTTAATTGAATTGGACCAGAGATAGTTGATGATTTGCCTTCGATTGCTCACTCGTCGATTGGAAGTTCCTCTAAATGGTTTTTCACGAAGATATTCAATCTTAGAATGAGAAGCAGAGAATTGTAGAGATGAAATTTCAGTCCTCGAAACGGCTTTTAAGGGAGCGGAATAAATGATCATCACATCAAATTGTGTTCGTGATGCCATCCTCAGAATTCTTTCATCTCAGAAACAGTATTCTGATGTAACAGTGGAATGAGTGGACTCCACATGCAAGATATACTGTGCCTTGGCTCTCGACATGCAGACCTTGTGTCGACGCTCATCTGAAACAAAACGATTTTTCAACAGGATTTGATCCAGTTAACAGGGTGACAAGGTGTGAGGCGTTGTTTGAAAAATCTAGCTCAACTGTCGACGATGGCAGAAGTAGGCTCGAGATTACGGTACCGGAGACCGTTGGCACCAAAACCAGTAGCTCTATGGGAATCGGCAATCCTTCTCACTTACGTCCTAGAAATGCTTGCAATATTAACCCTTTCACATACCCTGCATTCAACCAAACCTACACCCATATACTGCGACAGCAACATCTGCAAATTATTCGGTAAGTTGAACGGGATACTTGCCTTCTACTAAATTTGATCTGCTTTTCGTGGTACGTGGAAAGATTTTTGCTCGAATCCATACATACTGCACGATCTTCACCCTGGTCTTTCAATCGTTAACTGAAGTAACATGATAACATAGTCGAGGTACTACAAAGTACGTAATGAAACAGCGATAATTCTTTGAAGCTGGACCAAATGTTTTTGAAAATCACTGCAGTCGTCGCATCGAATCCTGAAAGATCCGCTCGAAGCAGACCTTCACTAAGCAATTTCCGCGCTCCCAAGAGAAAATTTCATGACAAATATGCCCTTTACATCCTGAGTGGGCTTTGGACCATTCACTGAGTACACACAATTTGGACAAATGAATGCGGTCAAAGGACTCATCGCAGTGATACTTCACAGTCCTCACCTGGGAGAGTGTATGGATTACTTTGCAGCGCGTCCAGACTGACAAAGCCGTTAAACATGTAAACTCTGCTTAACACCAGAAGTCAGGCAGCACGTTCCGAACCTCGTTCTGGTAGCTAGAATCACAGCTTTGCGACTAAAAGGGAAAAGCCGAACGCTGACCGGTAATAATAAAGAGAAAACTTAAAAGCAGCGTACCAGCTGACATTGTGCAAAGATTTAACCATCATGACGTGGTAGTACCACATTGTGACCAGAGACTTCGATACTAAATGCCAACTGAATGCAACGAAGAGATTAGGGCATCTTCATCTGTTGAGTAGAACTGATCCGTTAAAGAAAGTGAACTTCACAGCATTATAGCTTTTTGACTAAGGAGCCTCGGTTACACAAAAGTCAAGGAAATGGTCAGACTTGCAACAGTGCAAGAATGAGCCAAGACCGACAGCCTGCTAACTATACAATGATATACAACGTATCACCTACAGCAGCATCTTATGTTGAACTAAATTACAATTACACGGTTCGTTTCCGCACTATATATTTGAAGACTGGACCAACAACTTCCAACTACTAGGCT